ATTCTAATTTGTATTACAGCAGCATAACTCTAGTGACATGAATGAAGATACTTCTAATTTACAGTAGAGTGAATGAGACTAGAATCAGAATTTCACTTCAAATATGTTCTGCATTGGTAGATATTAATAATGAAGATGGCATGAGCTAAGCAACAGCTAATTTTTCTTATCTGATCACTACCAGAAACAGAGCAAATTATCTTAGCTTTGACTTGTTCTAATGGTGCTAGTCAGCTAATAAATCAATAGTGTTGATCATACTCTTCTTATATTGGGGTAATAATACCTTTGCAAGTTTTTGCATTGTTTAAAACAAGATCCTGCTTAAGAGGATCCTGCTTTCTACATTCAAAGAGAAAAATGCCTGAGGTTCCCTAAATAAGGGTAATTGCTGGATGCTTCTCATATTTCCAGTTCAAAAATTTAGCAGCAGGTTTGAGGACTATCTCTTATGTTAAAATTATTTTTGAATCTTTAACCTACAATTCATCACTGAATTGGTGCTAAGACAAGAACAGACCTAAAGGAAACATGGTGCGGCAAATGCATTGTGGAACATCATTAAGTTTACTTATAAGGATAACTGATATGAACATTCTGTTCATAAAAAAAATACAGTAAAGTATCTATTTTTCTTTTGTGGTCCTTTTCACCTCACTGCCTGATGTCCACCACCCTTATCACTCCAATGAAGTTTATGGCTATATAGATTTCTAACCCTGGCTTTTTCTTTCACTCTTCTGTTCTTGGTCTTGGTTTGTTTCTACTTGCTCATTTATAGTCTTCACTATTTAGTTGATAATAGTCTATCTGCTTCTCAGAAACTACTCTGGTACTGGTGCCAGGGAGCAGCAGTTCCACCTTGAAATACTATTATAGGAGGAAAGATACCAGAGGATCTTCATGGGCAAAATCTGGAATTTGACTGCCCAGGATGACTCAAGTAAATAAACATTAAGACTGGTGGTTTTCTACTCTCAGGGCATATTTCATGAGAGAGACGAAGGAAAAAAACAGTTCCATGAGAAGACAGAGGGAGGGAGGGAGGGAGGG